CATGCTATCTTTCAAATTAATTGAGATAGAAGGCTAAAATTTTGCACACAAGTTTATTTTTCCAGTAGACAGGTTAGGTTCGTAAATGGGCCATGTAGGTAAACGTTTTCATATAGGCCCCATATAACGGTACCTCCCTATATTCGGTATTTTGATGATTTTAGCGTCATTTTTCACCGGAATTGTATTAAATTTGGTATTTGAAGTTCGAAATGGATACTACACCCTAAGACAGAAAATTGTCTGTGCAAGCCCACGTCTTCGTAAAGCCCCCATATAACGGTACCTCCCAATATTCGGTATTTTGATGATTTTAGCGTCATTTTTCACCAAAATTGTTTCAAATAACGTATTTAGAGTTCGTTATGGGAACTACAGTCTGTGACAGAAAATTGTCTATGCAGGTCCAGGTCTTCGTATAGGCCCCATATATCAGTACCTCCATATATTCAGTATTTTGACGATTTTACGTACATTACTCACCGAAATTGTTTGAAATGTCGTATTTGACGTTCGTATTGGATGCTATAGCCTGTGACAGAAAATTGTCTATGCTGGTCCAGGTCTTCGCACAGCTCCGATATAACGGTACCTTCCTATGTACGGTATGTTACTGATTTTGGCTACATTATTCACCGTTTATTTAAAGTTTCGAATTTGAATATGGTAATGGCTTATGACAAACAATACCTACGTAGGTCCACGTCGTATAGACCCCAATATAACGGCTATATTTGGTATTTTTAAAATTTTAACAGAATTTTTTAATTTTTTCTTTTTTTTTTTTTGAAAATTTCCAAGTTTGTTCCAAATGGTGGAACTTACGTCTTTTTAACTTGTTTTTAAAACAACTTCTGGGGAGAATATCCCAGGCAAAAAACAAGGGAACTGATGAGGATTGGTGGCTCTTTCCGAAACCTAGGTATTCCCTGCCTCACCCCCCGGTAAACATTACCATCGTTCTCCACTAATAAACAAACGTTGTTTTTATAAAAATAACAATAAAGGGATTAAGCCTGACCATTTTGCAACAACAAAATACTATGGTATCCCCAAAACTGTTCTAAACCAAATAACTTTAAAAATTTTCTGTCGAAATACAAAAAAAATATTACAGCTTTTGGAAAAAACAAATGCTTCTATTTGAGGGTTAAAAAGAATTGTAATCGTATTAGGAACTCGATGCTGTGAAAAATCCACGGCATTCCATTCGTTAATTGCGATTTTCTTTTATATGAAAATATTGCGAGAAAAGTGTAAAATAAAAAGATAACTGGCTGCATTTGTTATTGGAAAATTTGAAGTTACAAGAATATAGCTTCACGGTTGTGTTTATTTAATTTAGTCATTCTGCCCTCCTTGTAATTATTCTACCATGGCTGGTGCCTTTACCTTAACCTTTTATTGTACCATGATTTTAACACGGTACAATAAGAAGAGCGTGCCCGACTTTTGCCAATTTGGTATTTATTGTTTTGAAAAATAAAAACGAAAAATTTAAACAATCAATGACTAAAAGAAACGTACACGTCGAGGAGCGCTAGGAATATTAACCAGGGCTGCCATGGAATTGAAATATTGGAAATATTGAACAGTTTGAATCATGTCGCATTTTACGCACTTTTTCCACGAGTTGAAATTTCCACAGAAAACTTGAAACAAAAGAGGCAATATTTTCAAAATGTTTGTATCGGCAGAAGAAATGTTTGACAAGTGTCTCTCCAGCAGAAATTAGAAATAGAAAAATACAAAAATATGTTCAAAATGTCAACATTTACACAAAAAGTTGAAAACATGAATGAAAATTGTAAAATTAATGATATAATAAATCTTTGGGAGAAAAACAAAAATTTCTTCTATTCATATTAGTGAGGATTTCATGTATTTTCGTATAAATTCCCATTAAAATCAACAAACAACATTATTGAAAAAAGGAATTATTTTACTATGTCTTAGGAATCGTGCCGTACCTAATTCTGAGAGCGAACAACTTAATTGAAAGTGCAATGAGATCATAGCATAAGCGGACAACGTATTGTATTTTCACGTTTCGAGCAGCCACAAAAAAATGCAACAATGTTGTATTTTCACCTTGCCTTTAGAACAGCGCTGCTCAAGAAAAAATATTTCTTTCCAGTCAAATTTCTCTTCGCTTATTTAAATCAAGAACAAAACAGTGTTAAGTCATTATTTATACAAATATTTTTTATCCATTTGCTTTATAAATTATTTTGGCAAACACTTATGTTTAAAAACAATTAAATGGAATCGTAATATAGAACGAAAAACAGAATTTTAATTTTCTCTTAAATTATCTCTTTTTGAGCAGGGCTGCTTTAGAACGTTTTGTGGGAAAATCGTGGTAAAAACTTTTACATTCTTGCAGTGCTGGAAAGAGCTAAATGAACTTTTATTTTTCTTGAATTTGTATTTGTATTTTATTTGTATCGACATTTTGGCAATGAAAGGATGTCAAATGAACACTTAAAAAAATTGTAAACATATAATTAAATTTCTTTACTCTTTGATTCTGCCATGGATTTTAGTAATATATGTATAGAATGTATATCTTCTGAAATTTTACATGAATTCCACAGATGGATCAATGAACACAGTATGTAATTCTTTTAATCTAATTTGCCACTTTTGGACTATATTTACTACTTTCTTCACTTTATATGAGAAATTTGATCATTTTTACATGTTTGTGATGTTTGTGAGGTACCAGATGTAGTATGGCGAAGCATTCCACTTCATATAATAAAATTAAAATATTGGAATGTGCAAAATGTAAAGAATATCGAACATTTATATCCAATTTTAAACTCCATATTCACATCATTTAAAAAGAATAATTTACTTGTTTCGCAAGTTATGAGAGATATAAATATTAAAAATTGTGATCCTTTATTGGGGATGTACCAGAAGGGGTACCTATCATATTCACAGCATATCTTGTGTTAAAAAAATTATTGAGATGTGTAAAATTTGAACAAAATCGGATACTTATTTCGCACTTGGGTGTCTTCTAATTTAAAATTCTGACCCCTTTTGTGGGGGATGACCAGAAGGTTGGACCATATGGACACCAGATCTTGTGTTATCAAAAATATTAGGATGTGTGAAATTTGAAGAGAATCTGATGCTTATTTCGCATTTTATGAATAAATTTTGAACCTTTGTGGCAGAGGTACTCTATGGAGTGGTCTAACATATCTTGTGTTGATAGAAATATGGGGGTGTACTAAGTTAAGAAGCGAATGCGCATTAAGCGTTTTATGAACGAAGATCATAATCAAAATATGACCCCTTTGTGGGGGAGGTACCAGTAGAAGTCAACCGATATTGAATAGAATCGGATGTTTATTTAGCATTTTATGGGCGTCTTCTTATCCAAAATGTAGACTTTTTGTGTGGGAGTTACGTGACGGAATGGACCGATATTATCCATTTTCAGATCTGATGTAGCACTGATACAAATATTAAGATTTGTAAAGTTTGGAGAAAATTGGATGATCCCATGGTACAATAAAAATGTAAGGCAGAGCTCCCAGCTGATTACAATTTTTTTCTAAGTGTGCCCGTCTTCTTCCAATTTTGTGTATGTATTTGTTATTTTGAAAAATAAAAACAAAATATTTTCAGAATCAATGATTGGATGAAAATTAAATTGCGGGGCGCGCATTTATAATATTAACCAGGTTTGCCATGGAATTGAAAGATTGAACACTTAGGAACATATTCTTGAGATAACATACAGGCATTTCATTCATCTTTCGCGCTATTTGACTCATTTTAGAAGCGAACAAAAATATCAAATAAATGAAAACCTCTTGTTGCCTGTAATTTTGAATAATTCTGGCAGGAAGCGGGTATAGCCTCATGGCTGTATTTCTGTAATTTCACGAAGCTGTTCTACCTCTTTATTGTACCATGGATGATCCATTCTTGTTTTATACGGAAAATTATATTCTGTGAAAATGATGACCTTTTGTGGGGGAGGATATCTACTTTCGATCAGGTACTTTTGGCGCACGTTTGTATCAAATGATATATACTCTCTGTAGTCATATGGCTTAGGGTGTAAAAATATACTCCGGAGGAATTACAGAGATGCAGTGTTAACATTTTAATAACATGTTTAATTTTAGCTTATAAATAAATTCCTATGGTTGCCCTTAAATGATTAAATCGTTAATTAACATCCCAAAATACATTAAATACAATATACTTTTCTAAGTTTTTTTTATCTTTGCTTCAATTTGTCATTCGTAAGGGTAGATTGTTTAGTTTTTACAAATGAATAATTGTTGTTAAGGGAAAAACTGGGTTTCAACTTTGTAGAAACACTGTTAGTAATATGCTTTGTCAATTGAGGAGCAATTAAAATTTGCTAAGTATTTGTATTATTTCAATAAAAAGATAACAAAATGCAAATTTAATGTGTATTTGTTATTACCTGAAAATGCTTACAAGTTAGAAGATCTCATAACAATACAATTTCACTTGCAAAATCCAATGTGGTTTGAAATCGAAAAATTGTATTTCGTTTCTGAAAAAACTAAATGCGGAATTAAAGCCACTTCCGTTCGGAATTTCTTCCTGTGAAATTTTCGATAAAATGTACACGATATCGTATGCGGTCAGGCCAAATTGACAATTTCAATAATATATCAAAACTTAAACCTAAATTGACAGGTATACGCAAGGAAGTTTCTTACATAATGGGAACATATGTTGCCAATTTACTGCAAATTTGGGTTAAATCTGTAGGCAAAATTTTATCAACCACTTCATTTGAAAGGAAAAGAAAAATGTTGGAGCAAGTTGAGTTTAGGGGCTATGCTCGGATCATTTATATCCGGTTCTACACAGTTGATATCATATCTATCAATTTTTAGTTTTTTTTAAGACTGATTCTTATTCTTCTTTTCTATTACTCCTACAACAACAAGGAGTTACTTCTTCTTTTCTATTAAAACGTAAAAATTAAACAAATATTTACAGTTTTACAAACATAAAATTTATTAATACGTTTCGTATCAAGATTATCAAATATTATGTATGTATAAAGTTTGTGTTTGTAGGGATAATGACTTAGCTTATACATGGACATACGTATATGCCTGACATATTTTTATTAGGTACATCTTGAGCCATTCGCATATTTTACAGCTTCCTTTTCAATATACTTTGTAAAACGGGATAAATTGGTAACAACGGTCTGCACAGCGGGATAACGATCCTTTAGTTCCTTTCGTTGAGAGCGCACTTTGGTTTTGAATCTTTTCTCCAAGTCCTTAATAACAATAGGCAAGCTGAGATCTAACAAAATTTGATGCCAATCATTGTCGGAGAACATATCCATTAGGGCGTCAAGAGCTTCAGAAATTGTCCATACATCCTCTTCCTTTAATAAAACAGAAAAAACTTGACTGTAAAAGTATTTCAACATTAATCACGCGGGCTATTAAAACCAACATTAGAACACGTTTCCACAATAAAGGAGATAATAACACGCACGAGTGCCTCGTTCAGCAAACATCCTAAAGTACCCAACATGCGTAGCCAGTTTGCACGGATCTCTGGCATACTGCAATTTTTAACACCATTAAGAATTAGCTGCAATTTAAAAAATAAAGAAAACATATAGTTTGAGGCGAGATGTTTCGAACAGATCATACTTCTAAATCATTTTGAGTCATTTGACTAAACAGTTCTTTTTTCGTTTTCAAATGCTCTAAAGATGCTCGCATCAGTGAAGTCGATGGTTCCATAACTGCTGGATCCTTGGGTCCTTTAAACACTTGCTGGCCTAATTCTACCCAAACATTATAAATGGCATTGTGACCTCCCAAATCTTCAGCACTTAGACAGTTGCATAAATTCTGCAGGCATAAAAGGGATGAAATACGCAAATTCTTAGCCCTAAGGTGGAGTAAAGTACATTATTGTTGGTCTCAATGTGTAATTAACGTATTTACTTCATAAGGAGGCCAATATTTGACTCCATTAATTGTTGGGCCAGTGTGTTTTCCAAAGGCTGTGATCGTTGCCACATCTGAAATTGGTTTCATTATTAGTACATTCGAATATGTAGATCCAATTCTCACCTTTTCCACCAATGCAAGCGACTTAATAGCTTCTGTAACTTCGGTCGGCAATTTATCACCTTCATGGAGGTTGGTGCTACTGCCATTGCTCTGTTTTGATTCGTAATCAACAATGCTTTCATTTTCAGAAGCATCGTCATCCTCCATGTCAGACCATTCTGAAACATGTCAGGGGACATAGATGTGAAAAGTTCAAGTTTTTTTTTCGACGATTTTAGAATCTGCCTATATGAGAATATTACCTTCATCATCCGGAGAGCACAAATTCGTTATGATCTCGGCAGCCACACGTTGCGCATCCAACAAGTATCCAACATTTCGTACAGCAATGTCTGCCTCGGTTGGCAGTTCTTGGCGTCTTCGGCGGTTTGCTGCGGCCTCTTCAGTTTCATCTTTAAAAAAGAATATTTTGATTCATTATTACTCACCTCCAACTGTAACACAGAAGATATTAGTTTAAATGGAAATAAATTTGGAATTAACAGATTCGATTTAAAGTTCAGAATTAGTCAATCAGATTTTAGATGACCTTTCAATATACTGAGATCACCAACTGAGCTAAAGCACACAACAAACAACACACATATTTTAAGGTAACCATTTAGAATACATTTTTAAAGTGTTACATGCCAAAAGCTTAAAGAATAAAAAGTCCGGCAAATGCAACCTTTGTATTTTAAAAATAATTTCAGCACTACATTTAAAATTATGTAGAAAACGTAGAAGCAAATTTCTCTAAACTTTGGAGATCCATATGTCTTAGCCCCGTATTTTACTCACCATCCTGTGTATCCATTTTTATTTCCAACTCGGGCGTGTCCTTTTCAGAGTTCTCGTTACACAAACCACTTATTCCAGAAAGAGCTATCTTATGATTTGTGTCCAAAACCTCATTCAAAGCTTGAAGTATTGTCCCAGCATACGATGCAGCTAATGCAGGAGCATTACTTATAATACCCGCAGCCATTGTACGTAGATAAGCATGACCGAAGTCACCACTTAGAGAAAGCAGACACAAAAAATTGGCCACATATTGGTTAAGAATGTGCCATGTTTTCGGATTATTTTCAGTTACAACTAACAGACATTGAGCAACTGAAATTGCTATTTCAATACCATAGACGTTGAAGTCTAAACATCTAATGAAACTTTCCAGAAGTTTGCTTTGGTTGAACGTTTCCACAGCAATTGAGGTGCTTTCACACAAATTCCATAGCAAATTTATGGCTTGCAGAAATACATCCGACTGCAGGTCCATCTGATTGCACATATTTGCATCAAAGCTGGGCTTCCAATCATTATTCTGAGCATATTCGGACAGTAAAGCAAGTAGGGGTGTGAGAACGTCCTGCTCAACAAGGAAGTCACACACTTCGGTTCCATTCACCGAAAGATTTCTTAAAGCCCCAGCACAGGCGTTACGTACAGAGTCGTCCTTCTCGCATAATAGGGGAGCAGCTATACGCACGACGTCGCTTTGACAAATAGCCGTCACCTTATCTTTGCTTGCTGTTAAAACTGCAAGAGATTGCAGCCCGTTTAGCTTCTCCTCGATATTGACATTTTGTAGCTGATCCCTAATGGATTCTATAGGTCCAACGCCGGAAGTCTCATACTCGTCGCAAGCATTCAGAAAATCATCCACTTCGTTGGCCTCCAGACCAATTGGATTAACTTTTAAAGCAAATCTCGTTTTATTTCTTCTTGTTTTCCCCATTGTATGCACAAAAACGCTTATTGTTTAGCTTAAGAGACCCACGTGCAGTTGGGATCCGCAGTCGATGTTTGGTTAATCGATTATGAAATCTATTTTATCGATTTCTGTATTGTTTACACAGAACATTTTTGATCTGTTAAAGGAACTGCATGGTAGAATAATACAGGTGACAGCAAGTGTTGTTGTACTACAAACGTAACATGGTAGACAAATACAGGTAGATGCATCAATGTTTGGGAACATTGATATGTCAAAATTTTTGAAATGTTTTTTTTTAAATGAAAAGATTTTTATATGTTTTCTTATACGACGCCAACCGGAGATTGTTATGATGTTCGTTTTTCAACTTTTTTTACGAATCTGAATAACTTTTCATTCAAAATTTTCAATTTCAAATTTAGTTTGACAGTTCATTGTCCCAGCAGCTGAGTCGATGCGACTACCTGTATTCTTCTACCATGAAACATAACAACAGCCACATACAAATTTGTTTTTGTATGTAATACAAGTGTCAGAGTTAAGTGTTTAAAACTTTAAACAAAACAAATAATTTTCAATAAATTATTTTAATTTAAAAAATGTACATTCTTGATATTTAGATTATTAAATTCAAAATGCAGGAAAATAGGCTCTATTCAGTATCTGCGAGTAGTAGAAACTTTTACATTCTTGCAGTTCTGGAACAGACCAATGATTATTGAAATATTTAATTTTAATACATTCATATCATTCCCCTAATTGTATAGTTGTTAGTTGTAGGTCCAAATCTCTCAACACTCTCTCAACAATCGAGAGAAGATCGTGGAAAAAGCAACATCCCTTTCAAACTGAAACCAAACTGCATATATACCAGGTAGAAGAATATAGGTAGACGTATCGAGACAGCTGCTGAGACAATGAACTGTCAAACCAATTTTGGAATTGAAAATTTTGAATGAAAAATTATTTAAATTTGAAAAAATTTTTGAAAAACACGAATTATAATAACCTTCGAATGACGTCGTATAAGAAAACATATATAACTCTACTTATAATTAAAAAAAAAATTGACGAGTCAATGCTCCCAAGCGTTGATGCATCTACCTGTATTCTTTTGCCATGATATATACATAAAGTATTCTACATTTTAGAAAATTTAGAAAAAGTGAAATATACTACCACTACTACTATACTACCCAATGTGGTATCGCTGCCCCTTAATCGCGAAAAAAGTTTTCGCACCATCACCGTTGGCGTTTTGTTAGGTATAACAGCGAATTATTCTATTATTAGGCAAAACATATGTTCTCATTTTCCTGTAGTGATATTTTTTATCAAAAAAGTGTTTACCTAATGTCATATCGAATTTGATACTAGTATTACTATAGAGTCAAGTCAGCTGGGGCTTGCAGATGCCTGTAATAATTATACCATGGTTCACAACATAGAGGTAATCGGAGTAACTACCCATAATTTACACAAAAATCTATGGTAGATTATCTACCGTGTTTTCAGCCATGGTAGAAGAATACATGCAGTCGCTAGGACAATGAACGGTCACACCAATTTTGGAATCGAAAATTATGAATGAAAAATATTAAAATTTCTAAAAATGGTAAGAAAAAGGCATGTTACAACAACCTACGATTGGCTTCGTATGAGAAAACATATAAATATCTACTAATTTTGAAAAAAAAAAACATTTTAAAAATTTTGACATATACAAATTTCCAAGCGTTGATTCATCTACTTGTATTCTTCTTTCTACCTATATTCTTCTATCATGTTTGCAACAACAAATCAAGCTAAGTTGGAACATGGACTGTATCGGTCTACGATTTCTTACAGCCCTCATACATCGATGTCTCCAGATGTTCGTCTTTTTGACGGTGGTTGCCACATTTTTGAGAATTGATGTTCGTAATTGGTAATACTCTTGCAGCCATGGTAAAATTAAGAAGGTACAGCCATTTCAAAATAGTATCCCCATCCCTGCATTTTCTGTAACTTTATCTGATTTGTTTGTATACAATGTATTTGTAAATATAAATTTTGACAATAAGAAGTTGGCAAATAAATAATTTTGAAAGAAAATGTAATCATATGATTGCATGACTTTACATTCCTAATTCTACTATGCTTGCAGCTGGCCACGTTGCCTTGTTGTAGCCCACATTTATGGTACCTTAAGATATTCGATACTTTGATTTTAGTCACATCTTCAGCGGGAATGACTGAAATTTGAATTGAATGGCAGCGGATACTGCCTCTTCCGATTGAAAATTTTGGTAGGCCTTCATATAACTTTATCTTCCGATATTTTGTATTTGAAAAAATTTTCCTAATTTTTCAACGGAATATAAGGTCGACAAGTAAGACCAGCTGCCTTGACAGCTATCAACATATACTTAAATCTAATTTTTCTTTTTTAAACTCCTCAATTAGAAAAGTGTTGTGTATTGATATCCTTTTGTTTTTTGTAGTAAACAAAATAAACGCAAGAAGAAAGCCAAGAGATTTCCTTTTAATGTGGTTGGTAGATGGTCAATGTCGGCTCATCATTTCTGGTACATGCATCCGAATTCTCATATCTCCTTGACGTCAATTTTATACAATCTTGAATCTCTTCTAAGACAAAGGGTGTCTCTCAGTGGGTAACATTTTTTAACATTGCATAAGTTGTGTCACAGGTCCGTCTGATACCTCCTTTATATTGTTTCAAACCCACGGCTGTTTGGACGAAATGTTTTTCAAACCTATTGTGTGATTCCAGGATGTACCAATAAAGTGTATGACATTTCTTTTCATTGTATTCCGTGATAAACATTGGATTTTATCATTGCTGCCCTCTGTTAAAGCTTGGACTTGGTTATATAACTGCAACAGGGAAATTTTTTCTTAATAACAAATTTTGACAATACATGTAGATGTAAGAGTTGTATTTTTAGGGAATTCACTTTCTGGTCGACCTTATAAAAGGGCGATGGCCCATGCTCAAGGGCATGACAGAAGAATGCAGGTACAAGTTGATTTCATTTTTTATATTTTCTTAATTTTTCTCTAATCCAAGCTGTCCAATTTCATGGCTAAACTGGTTGATAGCTTTAATGCGCGAACCGCAATGTACGTGTGTTCCAATCATTGGTTTTGAAAATACGTTGTTTTCATTTTTCAAAATAATAAATACATACACATAACTGGCAGAAGTCGGGCACACTTAATGTGAAAATACATAAAACTCTTCTTTGACTGGCTTAAGTCATCGGCTGGCTTCTTCGGAAGAAAGGAGTTTTAGGTTGAAATAGTTTTTTGCCCTAAGCTCTTTTCCGATGGAAAAAGCCTTAAGCCAGTCAGAAAAGCCTTTTATGTACACTCACCTTCAAAAAAATTGTAATCAGCTGGTAGCTCTACCTTACCTTTTCATTGTACTATGGTTGTCGGTATGTAAGGCGTTTAATGTGAATATGATAGTAAAAATCAACTTTAGTTGAGGATAACTTTGCTCTGTTCCAGAACCTGCAAGAATCTACTAAAAATGTAAAAAGTTTTGCATCCTTGCAGATTTGGAACAGAGCATTAGTCTTGTGTAAACGCACGATAAGTAGCTTTACAGCCATGTTATGCTAGGAACACAATTGGAGCGAACGACGAATTTTTCGCGGCGAATGTTCGTCGTCAAAAATAAAAAACATGTGTATATGGAAATTCACACAATCACGGCGCCGGCGAAAATTTCGTCGGACGCCGCCAACTCAATTAGCTTTATTTCTATTTCATACGCCGGCGAACAAAACAGTACAAGGTGGCCATACTTGTACGAATTTTATGTGTTTTAGTAAATAAAGTTACTTTTTACTTTAAAATTTGTCATGGTCACTCTACTATCTGTTACTGGTATAAAAAAACGTAATCAATTTGTTTATTTATTTGTGTACTTGCGCCTGAGTGAAGAAGCAGATAAGCTTTTACTATAATGTACATTATGTTAATTATTTTAACAATTTTAATAAACTTTACAATTCTCTGATTCATTGTAGTCAACAAATGAGCAAAAAGTAAACAACTTCATCAGCTGTTTTATAATTTCGTCGGTATTGTGTTCCATACGACGAATTTACGCGGCACATTTTGTCGCCGCGTAGGGCGAAATTCGTCGTTCGCTCCAATTGTGTTCCTAGCATTAGAAGAATATAGGTAGACGAATCGACCCAGCTGCTGGGACAATGAACTGTCAAACCAATTTTGGAATTGAAATTGTTGAATGAAAAATTATTTAAATTTGTAAAAATTTTTGAAAAATGCGTATTATAATAACCTCCGAATGACGTCGTATAAGAAAACGTATAAAAATCTACTTATATTTGAAAGAAGATTTCAAATTTTTTTACATATCAAAGATCCCAAGCGTTGATGCATATACATGTATTCTTCTACCATGATTACACCCCTGTCTAACACCTGACTGACAAATTCGACTATTTTTACCACAAATTTTATTGCAAAAATAGTATACTTTTGCAGGTTCTAGAACAGTTTTAACTTTAAAATTTTAGATATACTTTGGTTTTTGGCATGGTACAATAAAAAGGTAAGGTAGAGCTCCCAGCTGATTACAATTTTTTTTAAGTGTGCCCTACTTCTGCCAATTTTAGTTGTGTTCCAGAACCTGCAAATTAGTACTAATTAGCACTAATTCTGCTACAACGCGTTCCCGTACTCCAAAAACTAGCAAAACTTGCAGCTCTCTCGAGAAAAAAATGGCGCTGAGTGGTGGACATTTCTGATTGTTTTAGCTACATGAATTTGGCCGAGCAGAAATGTGCATATACTAAATTTGACATTTAATTTGCAGGGCTAACAAGGTTGAAAAATGTATTGATACATTTCAATAAAGAAAATGATCAACTTGAAAACTAAAGGAAAAACTAATATTTGTCGTGCAAAAAACAAAAAGAGAAAATATGGAGCAACTGATGTATTACTACTAAAAAAGTACTGGAACACAACTTTTGTGTATGTATTTGCTGTTTTGAAAAATAAAAACAAAATATTTTTAAAATCAATGATTGGAAGAAACTTAAATTACGGGACACGCATTAATAATATTAACGAGATTTAGCATGGTTCAAATCCATGCATGTTCAATCCATACTGAACACTTAGGATCATATTTTTGGGAGAACATCCAGGTATTTCATTCATTTTTCGCGTTATTTGACTCGTTTTAGAAATGGACAAAAAAATATCAAAACAACAACAAAATTAAAACAACTTGTTGCCTATAATTTTGAATAATTCTGACAGGAAGCGGGCATAGCCTCAGGGCTGTATTTCTGCAGTTTTATGAAGCTGTTCTACCTCCTTATTGTACCATGGGTTTTGGTACGTTGAAAGTAAAAACAAAAAAATTGAACGATTTGCAATTAAACAAGCAAACATTTTGAATAGTATTGTCGTTTTAAAATAAAAGGTGTTTTTAGAGTTTTCCTATTGAAAAAGAAAGGTGCTCAAGTCCAGAACTGCAGGAATGTAAAACTTTTTACTTCGATAACCGATTTCCCGTTATGGTGTCGAAAACATTGCAAAACTAACGCTCTGTTCCAGAACCTACAAGAATCTACTAGTTTTGCAATTTTCTTCGATATCATAAAGGAAACATCGGCTATCGTAGTAAAAACTTTTACATTCTTACAGTTCTGGAACAGACCATAACAGATTCTTGCTGGTTCTGGAACAGAGCAAGGAAAAACGACTGCTCCTCCTTAAGTGGGTACGTTCAGTAAACAAGTCGATGACATCGAGCATAACTTTTATGGTCGATACCGTCGCTATCGATACACAATCACGCTAATTAAAACACAGCGTGTGATCCACCCCTATTAAAGTAACCAATCGATTCAACCTTTTAAGATAGACGGGAAACAAAGCGACTAAAGATGGACGACTTTTCGTAAAATAATTTAAATCTGTGCTACTGAACCACCAACATTACGTTCTGATTTTTTATTCGCCAAAAATAATTGTGAATAAGTCCAAAGCTCACAAGAAAAGCACAACAAACGTGGTAATTTGTAAACCAACAAATTGAGTATATGGCTGTTCTCTAAGTTGCGATACTTATCGTGGTTGGTGTTTCGTTTTCTCTTATTTTTCCGATATCCGATAACATTCATTTGTTCCCTTCATCCGCTGAGATTCGTTAATGGTGCCATCTCTATTGAAAGAAAAAATTATATTTCATTTTTTTCATTTGATTGTCTTCTTTTTTATTGAAATTGAGAAAAAAGAAATACATCTACATCTTTTGAAAAGTACGCAAAGACAAATGTGAATATTAAAGAATATCTGGTATATCTGTTGCAAATGCTGTGAGCATTAAAACCCAAAGAAATCGGATGCTTTTTACAAAAAAAGAAATAAAAAGAAAGAGAAGAAGGAACGCATGTTAAAGCCCGAAGTTGTCCGGTTTCATACGAATCACGTATGTACGTACCTTCAAAAGACGAGTAAATGTCCGTCTGTTCGAAATAGCCTTACAGTGATTGTTTTCTACTGATTTTGTGTGCTTCGCCGTGATTTGGACATATCCTGGAAGCGTCGAAGTGCCCAAAATTGAAGACGGGAACGATTGGCTGAGTGCTGAACAGGTAAATTGTTGTTGTTGCTACTGTTGCTGCCACTTGAGTTGGGGTATAAGAAAAATTCTCATAGTTTTTTTTCTGTTCTATAGTAGCGAGTTGATTATTGGATGGTTGGTTGGTTGAATGTGTGTATGATGGTATGGTTTGGTTCGTGTATAGTGTAGTGCACTTGCACATACAAATCCGAATACGAGTAAAGAACTCAGATGAAATATAAACTGAAACAGAGACGTAGAGAAGGAGTGTATATAGTGACAAAAGCAAACGCAAGCGGTCAGCAGTTGATACCGAATAGAAGAGTACAATGTAAGAGGATCCCCCAATCCATAGCAACTTGATATTTATGTTTGATATGTATTAAGAAATGACTTAGTTTTCATATATTGGGTAGGACAACCATAGTATTGGTGCTTTATCATGGAAATAAGTTATGTGGACCGCGGTTTTTACCCAAAAACGTTCTTTGCATATCAGCCGCATCATCAGGCCCAAGTGCATAAAATTAAAAGAATTAATTTTACAAAACAAAAAAAAAAAAAAAAAAAAAAAAAAAAATGTGCGTCAAAAAAATCGTTCAATAGGGTTTACTATTTGTTAAATACTATATCGTGAGATTCGAAGCCTGTCTTAAATTATTCAAAGGCCAAGTGGCAAATCCCAAGTCCATTGGTAAACACCATTCAAAATCTAATATTTTCTTTTTTTTTTATTGTGACAATATTATTTCAATAGTAGGAATCAGTTTTTGTGAATCAGTTTTTGTGAATATTTGGAGCTAAAAAGATCTAAAAGTAGGAAACCAATTTAACTGAGGATGTCTTACAAGAAATTGTTCCAAGATTTTTCCCAAATATTTGTTTACATGGGTGTTTATTTTCTATTTGTAATGAGGGGTATATAAAGTTTCAGAACTCATAGAGCAAAACAGAATAGCAAAAACAACAATAAAACCAAAAATCACTTTCATACAAAAATATAAGATTTACCAAAAAAAAAAAAAAAAAATAAATAAATAAATAAATAAAATAAAATAAACAAATTTTGAGATCACAACTTTGTTTGTTTTGTTTTTAAAAGTTTAAAACTAGATCTAATATATTTCTTTTTTTTTAACATATTAAGATTTGGAAGGAGCAGCCATAAAACGGGTCATAAAAACGCAAGGGGCCTATACTTTAGAAGCGTCAAAGAACGCTCTATCTACGAGGCCGGTTCCAATACCGGCATCGATATATATAAGTTTAAGCAGAAGATGGCCAATACTCTTTCCGTCATGACAAACGTATTGAGAAATGTGGTCAGCAAGCAGCGTATTCGCTACAAGGAGAAAGGTTTCAATTTGGATTTGGCCTGTAAGTACTCGTCATCGGATATGGCACAAGTATGAATGCTATTAAATATTCTGTTTCCTTTATGATAGATGTATGTGATAACATTATTGCAATGGGATACCCGGCGGAAAAATACGAAAGCATGTATCGAAACCGGTTAGAAGATGTTCAAAAGTTTCTAGAGGAAAATCATCGAGATCACTATAAAATCTACAATCTATGTCTGGAACGCAGCTATGATATTAGCAAATTTCACGGGGTAATATATCCTATTGTGCTACATAAGAAATAACATATTTTGCATTTATAACCTAATCACAGGTGGTAGACATTCAAAGGTATAACACATTAAAATGGATTTTTTTCTCTGTTTTGTTTCTGTTAAATTCTAACGACCATCTCAAAAGTTGTATCAAATAACAAGATAATGTTTTTTGCACTTAGATTCATATTATTTTGAAGATCAAGATATAAGTACAGCTTGAAGCAGCTGTTTGAAAACATTGTTAAAAGACAAGAAATGGAAAAGTTTTAAAATGTTGAAGATGGGTATATAATTTAGATTAATCTTATAGATTCGTTCCATAAACACACGTGTTATTCTGTTGGGATTTTTTAAGTTTGTGTACCACTGTGAAACAATCGTTTGTTCTTATTAAACTAATAGACAATTTCATTATTTTGTTTACAGCGAGTTTCAGTTTATCCATTTGAGGACCATAACCCACCCACAATCGAACTGATACAACAATTTTGTGAAGATGTTGACTCTTGGCTTAAGGCAGATCCTCTTAATGTGGCTGCTGTACACTGTAAAGCTGGCAAAGGTCGTACGGGTATGTATATTAGCATTAACAGACGTTTTCAATAGTTTGTATTGATTAATTTCTATTTGAAGGAACTATGATCTGCTGCTATTTACTCTATAGTGGACAACAACGTACCGCGGACGATGCTTTGGCCTGCTATGACGAAAAACGAACAAAGGATCGTAAGGGAGTTACGATACCATCGCAGAGACGCTATGTGCAGTATTTCTCCAAACTGATACGCATGGGATTATCATATTGCCGTCGTTCACTGCAAGTATGTATCCTACTAATTAACACGTATGATTATTAAATAATATGTTGTTTTATGATCGCACTTTGTTTTTGACAGTTCTGTGAAATTCGATTTTTGGGGGCCAATGCATTACAAAGTCAAGGCTCTGTACATTGCACAATTTCTGTTTTAGAGGATAAAGTAAAGGTAAATAATGAAATATTGAGTCACATATATCGCCGTAAATATCACAAATTCCATTATTTTGTAGCCATTGGCATATTATGTCGTAGATTTTCGTAAACAGAGTGTACTCGATGTGAAAATAACAGTTTCCGGCGATATAAAAGTCGAATTAACGAAAAACACCAAAAAATTATTTCATTTCTGGTTTAATACGTTCTTTGTAACAGATTCAGGCAAGTTGGAACTTCACAATATTTTTACTGGCCAACCACACTCATGTATATACTTTATAATTACAGTTATTGAAGGAGACGGCAATGATGAGAAATACATATACACTCTAAACAAGTGTGAAATCGATGATGCGCACAAGGATAAAGAGCATAAATGTTTCTCCGAAGATTTCAAGGTAAGTCAAATTACTAATTGCGAGTAAAATTTTAGCAGCATTATTAAATATTTATGTATTGGATGAACTATGGATGTGACAATTTAATTTTAAAGACAGACTGCAACTCGAAAATATACATAGATGGACATTAATTACAAATTACCAGCATGTAGAGGGGTCAAAGGACTTGGATAATTATTGGCATTTTGTTATAATACAGTAAATAAAAGTGGGTAAAGTGTCATGCGAAAAATCCAGCTGATCTCTCCCGTATTGTCAAACGTACAGCGCATGAAAAAATGAAACCTAAACAACATTTTTGACTGTATTGGGGTATTTCAAACATAATCGTTGTTGTTGTAGCGTCTCGAACTGCTATGTTCGTTCTGATTGTTTCTTGTCTGATTCTTAGTCTAAGTTCAAAAATGAAGCGACCTGTATTGATTGGGTCGTCCATAGCGATGCGGGGTACGTTTGGTTGCACATTATAAAAGGTGCAGCGTGTCATGTGGGTGTGTGCCACACGATGCGAAGGTGTTTTGTGCACTGCTGGCAATTCGAACCCAATACAAATTGAGTCGGCTGCAGCACTTAGATCTCAGCTGTGCCAAAATTGCTCTGGTTCGTAGAGGCAAATCTCGTTCTTCAGCTGCGGTGAAAGGCGGATAAACTCCGAATATGGTATTCACTACATTCAGTCCTGCTTGATAGGTCTGTTGATCTAGATGCTATCTCTTATACAGGGTTGCCCATATTCGACGGACCCATCTGGCAGCGCCATAACTTTTGACAGAGATGTCACATCGCTTAATGACATACGAAATAGTTGAAATTTACATTCAACAGAAGAAGTCAATTGTGAAAACTCAACGTGCTTTTAAAACATTAAAAATGTGAGAAGTGAGCCTTCTAAGAACACCATTAAGCGTTTATACGAAAAATTTTCGACTGGTAAGGCTCTTTCTAATCCGAAGAGGCCATATAAAAGTCGACCAAGGCGATCGGCCGAGAATATCGCTGCCGTACGAGCCAGTGTTGAGAGGTCCCCAAGAATATCCCAAAAACGCCGTTCTCAGCAGTTGGGCATGGCTCGGTCCTCTTTACAACGGATTATTCGCATTGATTTGCATTTGTTCCCGTATAAAATTCAATTGAAGCCTCGTCAATTGGAATGGGCCCAAAGGTCCGTCGAATATGGGCAACCCTGTATGTCTAAATCATGAAAGTCTTTCCTGGTTGGAGGTTGCCTGGTGATTGGGATAGGTTTTATTACGCTGTCGCACCCATAAGACTTTAAGACCCCATCATGTTGATGTTGCTTTATAAGGGCGGCCTTCGCATGGTTTTCCATCGTAAATTATGGTGGTTCCTCCTCGGCTGGGAGATATTTCCGCGGCGTAGAATCTTTCTTTAGCCCTGTCACTCTCGGGGTGCTCTATGAAATGTCGGTTAAAATAACTCGCGTACCTCTTTGAGTCTGTCACTTCTACGCCGTTAAATGAGGCAGACGTCTGAACATCCTTTTTTCCAGGTTCGTGAACGAGTTAACCATTGCCCAGAATTTATTCGATCTAGTACTGATGTTGCAATGCTTCGGATGTTCTAGCCACCTCATTAGCCACCATGCCATAATTCATTAAGGGCATGGAAATACCCAAGCATTAGACTGTTATTGTCAGCTAGAAGTGACCCAATATTGGGTATACTAGGCGGAGCATAGCTATTTGACGGCGTGATGTACACATTAATCATTACACTTTATGTGAGATTAATAATTTTTTAATATATTATAAATTATCATAAATCTTCCTTCATTTTTTGCTATGGGATTCTTGCTGTTGTCCGCATCTCGATGTTCCTTTGACAGCTCTGACATCGGTGCAGGAACGCACCAAGGTATTTTGCTTCCAGAGAAAGTTCATCTACATTCTATCAGTCACTTTCGATGAATGAACACCATAATAATGTTCCCGCATTCTAAAACCTATTATGGTTTAAGATTCCATTTTACTTTATCCAGCACTCATAGCGAATAGTTGCAAATCTCTCGTTTCCTTTTAAATAGTTAGGTTACCAAGACTATTAACACGGGTTTAATCTTCTGCTTTGGTAAGAATTTCTTGCCATTTAAGACATGGAGCAAAGCAAATGTAGTTTGTGCCGTGGAAAATCATATGTATTTAATTTTTTATCAACGGAAGCCATAGTATATGCGAGTATATCTCCTTTCGATGTGATCTTCTACTAGTTTGCCTTATGGAAATGTCCAATGCTTGAGTTGATGAGTCTACTTATAAACATTTCATCAATACATTCAGTAAGAATGTAAGAAATCTCATAGTGTACACTTTATAGATCAACTTCGACTTTACATTGCCTGAAAATTCCTTTAATAGAGAAACAATTTGGAATTTCCCATTACCTTCTTCAAAAATGCAAGCACCTCGTGGAGAGCAGAACCCACCCACGTCATCTTAAAGTTCGCGTGGTGTGATTGTTTTTTTTTTTCTGGGTCCAAGTATCTTTCCATCAATAGGAAGAAAGAAAGACACCAAATTGCCCCATAGTAACTCAGTAATACAAGTCCCTCATCTGCAGAATTGTGTTGACCGGGATGAGACAATATTTGATATGAGGCCATCTGCATCAGGAGATTTGACGGATTTGAAGAAGATGTGAATGTTTATAGTTCTTCGAAACAAAAAATTGGGGGAGATTACTTTTTGATATGTTATAAGCTCCGATCTGCATTTTCTGAAAGTAGATCTTCTTTCGAAATCGTTGTGCCTTAAAATATTTTTGTACAGTTGATTTTAAAAGAATTTTGTCCTGCTAGGGCATTCATTAAAGAATTTTTGGAGAGGTCCGATAATTTAGCTCATTTGCCTCAGATTCAGTGCCAAACAACTAAATAATTCATATTCTATTTGCATTCTGATAGGGGGGGCTTAACACAAAATTAACCGCTTTATATACTGATAGCACTGGTTTTTATTATTATAATGTATTGGTTTTCTCCGAAACTTGGTTAAAAACATCGATATTAAATAGTGCAATTTTATGTTCAAAATATCAAATATACAGAAAAGATCGTGTTTGTAAAAAAGGTGGTGGCGTCCCTATTGCAGTTGATGCCAATTATACCACTAATTTAACAGATCTAAATGGTTTTCTTGATATGAAGTTTGTTGGTGTTTCCATTGAATTAGGCAAATTTAAGTTGTTTGTAACTTGTTCTTATATTCCACTTTCAACTTCACTTGACATTTATAATCATCAATAAATTTATTTATTTCTTTTAATCAGCAATAAATTTATTTATTTCTTTTCAATGTGTACAGAAACCTAGCCAATAGGGCCATGGACGGTTCCAAAAACGTCTATACATGACTACTCTAAATTAATTATAATAATATAATATAAAATTAAACACTAAAACAAATTAACAAAAAATGAACAAAATTAAAAATGGATTGACGGTTCCAAGAACTCCTATACATGACTACTTTAAACTATTCATAACATCCTTAATCTTAAAAATCTTATTAAAAAATTAACATTTAAAAATTAACAAAAAATAAAAAAAGATGATCAAAAATCACAATTCATTGAAGAATTAGATAAATCAACTATGCAAGGGAACCATTTTAGGGAAGAATTAAATATCTTAAGATTAGCTGGCAGATTGTTGAAAATGCAAGCAATTCTTACATAGAAGGATTTTTTCAACAGAGGAGTCAAGCGTGGTATAACAATTTGCAGGTTCCTTACACATCTCGAAAACTTAAAAAGATCCATAATAGTAGAAGATGTTCTCAATTTAAAATGTTTGTAGAAGAACAACATTGACCTTAAATTCACAAAACACTCAAACGAACAACCGAGAAACTCCTTCACAGGAGATATATGATCACCACGTTTGACACAAATAACATATCGCATTACCCTATGAAACAATAGTTTTAACTTACGACAAATAAAACCGCAGCTACCCCAAAAAATCTCAATACAATATAAAAAGTGAGGTATTATTAAGGCATGTACCAACTGATCGCTTAATCGCTGAAAAAATGAAAGATTCTGATCGCATCCTGATTCTTGGCGATTTTAGTATGCCTTCCATTAGGTGGCTTCCAATGTCAAATTCTGAAGGTTTGATTCCTTTGCCATCCGAAATGAACAGTAACCAGTATACATTTGAAGTTATAAATCGTTTTTGATATAAGTCTTCATCAAATAAACAGTGTGCAAAATTCCAACGGCAAAATTCTTGATTTGGCGTTGTAAATATAACACAGCATTTTGAAATATTCAGAATTCCTCCAATATGCACTCCTGAAAATATGTACCATCCAACATTATCTCCATGACTCACAAAATGTAATTGATGAAACTCTGTCCAAATCATTTAAAACTGGCCTTAATTATACAAAAAACTAATTTCCGAAAACACAATACCCTTATTCCCTCCGTAAATTGGGCCTCCGTCCGTCTATATAATATCCATAAAGATCTGGAATATGTAATTGATAGATTTTATGTTAGTTTAAATAGATTTAAGCTTGAAAGTGTTCCAACTGTTAGAGTTAAAAATTCAAATAAATATGCATGGATAACAAAGTAAAATGTAAATTTGTCACAGACACAGATATTGGTAAATGTTTTGTACATTTTTTTTTGCCACAACCTATTCCAGTACATATTGCCTAATCAATGATTCATATCCTTAAAAGCTGTCACATATTGACTAAATTTGTATGCCTTTGCTACAATATCAAGAGGTATCCAATAGTTTGCGTTGTTTAAAATCGATTAAATTTCCAGGCCTGGAAGGCATGCCTAATATAATTCTTAAGTATTGTTCAGACACATTAGCACTCCCTTCAAATTTATTGTTTAAAAATTCACTTAAATTTGGTCACTTTCCTACTTTCTCGAAAAAATCTTATATTCGGCCCAATTATGGTTGTCGTTTCTATAGTCGTCGTCGATTTTATGTGCAAGTCGCCCTCACCGTCGCTTCGATTCAAAAATGGTATAACGGTAAGGCATGGAAGCGACATCGACAGTTTAAAATAATAGTTGGCAACAATTAAAAAGCGTTGGCAACACTCCCTTGTTATTGACAAAATAAGATAAAAATTTGTTTGTATTTTGAATTCTAATTTCGTCTCTTTCGGAAAAATAAAAAATATTGTTAAAAAATGGATATTATAAATGCATTATATATCTTAAGTTCAAGTGAGGATGAAGTGGAGTATATATTAGTAGTGCAGCGGCGAGTGCTAAGGCAGTAAATAAACATATTTGCATTGCCTGATTCTTGATTATGTTGTTCCAAAAGTTTATACTGCTCTTTCAAGAATTCAATAGTTTCTTCTTTCCTTGATGACTTTTTATCATTGTTTTTTTCTGGGCGATCGAGAAGCTTAAATAGTAGTTACATCAGTCTCGTCATCATCATTGTCCACTGGCTCATTTTCATGATCTGTAACGTCTCTTACAATTATGTTTTCCGCATTTTTTACACCAAGTGCACGACCTGGTGGATTCAGTAACTTTTGAAACTGCATTACATTCGCAAAGGACTCCTCCAAAAGCGACAAAGTCATTTTCTTAAAAATACCACCTCCAGTGCTGTTGGCTTCACCCTCATTGTGCACAATTGTTTTTTAGTGATACATTTTAAATCTGTAACGTCTGTTACAATTATGTTTTCCGTATTTTTTACTCCAAGTGCACGACCTGGTGGATTCAGTAACTTTTGAAACTGCATTACATTCGCGAAGGACTACTCCAAAAGCGACAATGTCATTTGCTTAAAAATACCACCTCCAGTGCTGCTGGCTTCACCCTCATTGTGCACAATTGTTTTTTAGTGTTACATTTTAAATCTTTCCAAACCTAGAAGAAATTTAGAAAAATAACTAATAAAAACATCCAAAAATAATTTAAATTTTAACATACTTTTTGCCAGTCTCTTATTGGTTACCCGTTTACATTTAATTTTGTAGCAATGGATTCGAATCTAATTTAAAATTAGCTGGAAAATAAACATTGGTAAACCCTATAGCCAAACATGTTTTTTTTCCAATTCGGAAACGAACATTTCAAATTGCTTTGCTGTTGTTATTTTCATGGTCAAATATCAAATACAAAAAAGTTACAATATCAACGTCGACTGAAAAATACAATGTCGCCACAATTTTTTACGGCGACAGATTTTCTTAAAAATCGACTTCACGTCGACTGTTGTATTGACAATTATAATTGCAATCATTTGTCGCTATTGACAAAAAACGACACCAAATGAAGTCGAGGCGACGACTTCATTTTGCGACGCCGACGACAACCATAATAGGGTATAATCGGCCTTACATAGGTCTGGTAGTCTTACAAATGTGTCAAATTATGGAGGAATTGCCATATTAGGTGCCATTTCGAATTATTCGGTAAACAAGCTTATTTACTTTAAAACGATTTAGACAGCCATTTTAAATGGTGCAGGTTAAATTGTATGGATTTAAATTTAAGCAAATGCATATGTGATTTTCCAGATCTTCTCTGATATTGCAATATAATATTGACGGTGTAGATTCATTTGTCGATCTTGGTTTCTTGATGGATCCAAAATTAAATTTTAATAGTCATGTAATAACAATGGTAAATAAAGCAAATGGAATTCAATCAATCAGAATCAGCAAAGCATTTGCATTTGTAACAAAACAGTTATTTACACCTCTTGTTAGACCTATATTAGAATACGGTTCTGTTGTATGTGATCCTCAATATGCAATATACTCAGATAAAATAGAATCCGCGCAAAAACAATTTCTGCTATTTGCCTTACGAGGGAGGTTTACATTGGAATAGTAATTTTGGTTTGTCTTCTTATACTAGCATGCTAAAATTAATTAGATTGCCTACACCTTAAAGTAGGCGTATTATGTTGAACTCCTGTTTGTACTAAAAATATTAAATGGTAATATATCTTCAGATTTCCTAAACCCATCTATTGGAATCAAGGTTGGGCATATTGCACTAAATTTTTAAGAATTAAATAAATAGTGGAAGTGCAACTTTTTATTCCACTACCACTAAAGGTTTAGTGGTAGCGAAAAATTAAATTTCACTACCACTAACCATTTAGTGATATTTAAAAAAAATTTATATAAATAATTTAAATTTTAACATACTTTTTGCCAGTCTCTTATCGGTTACCCGTTTACATTTAATTTTGTAGCAATGGATTCGAATCTAATTTAAAATTAGCTGGAAAATGAACATTGCAACTTTTTATTCCACTACCACTAAAGGTTTAGTGGTAGCGAAAAATTAAATTTCACTACCATTAACCATTTACTGATATTTAAAAAAAAATTGCACTACCACAAATGGTTAGTGGTAGTGAAATTTAATTTTTCGCTACCACTAACTAAAGCTTTAGTGGTAGTGGAATAAAAAGTTGCACTTCCACTATTTATTTTAAGTAATAGTTTATTTAGATAATTGACCGTTTTTGTGTAGCCACGTATAACTGTAACACCTTATAGTCAGAATTATTAAGTTTTTCAACGGAGTTTTTTAGCATTCTGCAAATCCTTATACCATGTATTCATCTCAGTCATAGACGTGAACAGATAGGAAATTCTATTATCCATTATGACTAGTCCTTACAATTTTTTTGTGATCCTGAAAATGGTTTGGCTGTTTTATTTTGTGTTCTGAAGTTTACAAATACTTTTGCAAATACTATCCTGCATGCAGGTGTTGGGCAGAATTAGTTTTATACAGCTCATGTTGCATTTTAGGCAAAGTTTTCCATAACTTTGTCTTTCCAATTTATCGTCTCCCAGTTTCAGCAATTAAAACAATCGACCTCTAACTATTTTCACAATTACATAAAATATTGTATTTTTCAGGTGGTACTTGTTTTCTACGTCGACGGAAGTAATGCTGTGCGAGATGGGGAAAAATCTTCGAGCGGACAGAGCTTCGCAAATCATCGTCAGTCTGTGCAGAGTGGACCGGCAAACACCTGTTTGCCGACAATACAATCAAATAATTACTCATTACCACAGAATAACAGCAGCGGCAGTGAAATGAACTTTATATGTGATCAGCAATCATCATCCTCTACGTCGGTGAGCAGCAGCTTAGGTGGTGCCACCACCGACAACAGCAATGGTTATGAATCGAATTCGAAGCGGAACACGCAGCATAGAAGTGGCGTTCAAAACTTCGGTAATATTCATCATTCTCATCCTTATGTGGCTATGCACGATGAAAACAGTGTTTCGTATGCATCGCCACCACCACAGCCGGTTGCAACAATTGGAGCACCACCCGGCTATGTTGTAGAACATGAACGTCTACAGGCGAAAAATCAGCACTGCATACAGAAAAATAACATGCACCACTTGCAGCAAAAACATGTGCCGTCAGTGACTGCCACTTCAACGCCAAACCAGAGGCATATACAAAGACAAAATGCTGGCACCGTTGCTGGCAGCAATGCTGACGGAAGTGGGATACTGGATATCCATAGAGGTGGCACGGATATATCGTGTCCAACGTCGGCAAATTTAAATGCCAGTGGCATCAGCAGTAGCGCCAATTACAACCACAGTACCCATAACAGTAGCAAAACCAGCAGCGTCAGCAGCCAATCGTCTTCTGTAGTCGGAGACAACGAGGAGGACTGGGAATCCGGTGAGTCCAGTGCTAAACAGCTTGATCACATTACTTTATTACTTTCTACTTCTTCTGTAACATCTTCTCCTGCTCCGAAACAAATACTTCCAAATAACAATACAAATACCAATTTATCTCCCAATGATTCCTCGAGAAGTAAGCAAAAGATTAATGTCGGTCTTCAGCCCTCTTCCTCCACCTCCTCCTCATCCTCTACATCCGCCTCTAGCTCTACCTGTACCTCTGCATCCCAATCATCTATATCCTCCAAATCCTCTTCCCAATGCCCCTACAACAAATGTAACACTAGCAGTAGTAGTTGTATAAATAGAGTTGCTGGTGGTGATGATGATGATGATAATGAAAACGTCGATGAAAGTAAACCTAAATTTAAGATATCTGACTCGAACATTGTGGCCACACAAGAACAAGAGCAACAATTAGGAAGCGCCATTGGAGCTACAGGGGTATCATTAGAGTCAGGTGTTAGGGACGTTAAAAAAACCAACACGGCTAGAATGCCAGAATGTTGTGATCGGAATAGTAATGCATTGACGTTGTCGACACCGGCTCAAACTCCTAGTAGTCGGCCCAAGTTTATGCATCTATTGATGCTCCCAAAAAACAACAATTCACATCAGTCGACGCATAAACCAATTTTCAAGCGTAAATCGTCTTATAAGTTGACAAAAAATGTGTCGAATACCACAGGGCTTAATGCTTCCAATGATGGTTGCAGGAGTTCCACTGCTGATACTACATCATTGGAATCGGCTTCTGTGACACCTGATACTGTGCTGGGGAACATGGGTGGTGTAGCCACGACATCCAAGCAGAAACTAAAAATCAAGCTTAAAAAAAACAAACTCAAATTTTCACAAAAATTTCAATGGTTTCGAAGCTATTTTCGCAGTGACCCTGTAGATTTCTGTGAAAACTTTGTGCAGCAGACCACATCAATACGGCGCAACAGTATCTGCAGTATGGCTAGTCGGACGCACAAATTATCGACAACAACTCCGCCTTCAATAACGCCGCCGCCCCCTCCTCTAGCTGGAGCGAATATTGACGGCTCTTCGTCGTGTGAACAGTTGAACGACCGAGGTCCCGGTAGTGTTTCAGGGTCTACATCGAACGCCAGCATAGCAACTGGCGATCATTGTGAAGACTACTATTCACACATTTGCGACAATCAATTAAGCTTTAGTAATTCTCCGTGCAAAAGTCCCCGATCCATGGCGGACATTGTTGGTAGTATTAGCGGCAGTGGTGGTGGACATGGTGGAAGTTTTGGCAGCAGTTTTGCCCACAGTGCAGGTAGTTTCCATCAACAGTACTTTCGAGAGCGGCAGGAAACCTTGCCGGGCCTCAGTTCACACAGTGCTCGTCGCAACAATGTTGTCATTGTTGCCGCTAAGCCTGTACGTACGAACGCTATTGGCTTTAACATACACACAGCGACCTGTGACGATCAGCAATCTCAAGCAGTGAGACAGGATTCACCAGATTTTAATGCCTCGCCGGCCAGTGTATATAACACTGCTAGTTGTTCGCCGCCACTAACTGACGAGTGTGTTGCAGATAGCCAGAAGGAAACCAAAAACATACCCTTCGTATTTCCAGTAAATGTTCCCAACAAAGCGCCAGAAAATTCAAGTGGTGACAGCCCGTCTAAAGAATCACCTACAAAGACGCAAACAAAGTATTCTCTAAACTTGGTTATTGTCAAAGAATGTCCTTCTGATGAGTGTGCTGCCACCGCACCCGGTAACATATCGAAAACATCTCGGCGAGATGGCGAAATATGCCATGATCCATATTCGGACTTTTCTTGTGAACAAGATCGAAACGAATTCACCATCATGCATACCTCCAACGAGGGTGACATTTCGGGACCAAATGCAACATCCACCGCCATAGACGATTTGTTTGAGACAAAGACCACTGCAACTACCAGTGCATCCATATGCAGTAACAGTAGCAGCAGTGGCTTTTGTACAAGCGAATGTTGTACTACAAACAGTAGTAGCAGTAGCTGTAATTGTAACCCCTTTGCATTAGGTTTAGAAAGGCATGTCGCCTTAGCTGCCCTCAACACCGCGAAGCAGGCGGATCCGAAGCAGGACATCATTCTGGAAGTTGAGGTGGAGCACAATGACACTGCACTCACCACTGACCCTTCCATGCCTCCTGGCAATCCCGCAGATGAGGCTTCTCATATAAAGCCTGAGTCCAACGAGCATAAATGTGATTAAAAAAATGCAATTTATTGAGGGACTGTGGCTGTGGATCACACGTTGGCCCTAGCTTTGGCGTTCCCGGTTGATATTTTCGGGTGGCTATAGTTACGTAAAATACGAATACAAGTAAACTAAGACTACAAGTAACGTAAAATACGAATACATGAATTGTCTGATTGCGTTCAGCGAGATTTTAAAATGGCAAGGACGTTTGCAAGTAATCGACATTTATGCACTGAACATATAGTCAATCGTTCTCAAACAAAAATTGTCGAATATACATTTTCTCACAAATTCTTTTCCACCATTATAACCATTCATCATGCCGTGAATTCGAATTTATATCTTATTGAGCATTGCTTGTTTAGTCGATATCGATCGAAATTAGTAGTATGACAGTGCAAAGATGTCTTCGGAAAGTGAATATTTTATGGTAGATTGATTCACAAAGGTATTCAAAAAGTTCGCGTGTAAGCCACAATGTTCGCTAAGCTTTTGAAGAATTCAGAATTATATTTCAATACTATCACATTCGTGAGCTCTTAACCACGCAAATAGTTAACTGTTGTTCTTCTACTTCTTCCATCAAAATCATCAGTGTTCGCAAAAGAAAGCAAATCAACAATAGTCGAAATGCAATATGTAATGAAAATAGAAACTCATTCTAAATTTGCAACAAACAAACAAACAAAGAAAAAAACTATTAACGCAAAGGCAAAAAAGAAAAGAAAACACATACATATATACAAAAACACACACACACAAACACAACGCAGTAATATTATCCACAACATAAATAATTCTTCTTCTTCTAAACATAAAATAAAAACATGCAACGTATATACATAGATACATATATTTAATATAATTTCTCGTCTTGTTCTTTATTTATTAATATTTTTTGTTTAGTTATTTTTATATATAAATAAGTTTTAATATTACGTTCTTCGAGCACTCCCTTATCCTACCCCCACATCAGATCAATCAAAACACACTTCCAAACACCACCCCGCCCGCCCCCTCCCCTCTTTTATTATTTAGGATAGATGATAACATATATAACAAAATTAAAAATTTCTAACAATTGAAAATTCGGTAATGTTCTCAATAGAAAGTAATTAAATTACTTACGTATACTACGACGATTGTAAGGATTTATCACAAAAAAATATTAATTAAAACTTATTCTATGCTTTTTATTACTCTTAGTACTACAAACAAAAATATTATTGTTTTCTTTCTTATTTCGATGATGATTTATTACTTAAAATGTTAACATTAATCTACAACTAAAAACAAAAAAAAAAAAAAAAAAGAAACTACATAATAGAAACAAACAAACAAACATAATGTTTTTCTTTAAACAAAAAAATGCGAAAATTCTTTTTAATTATAATAATATATTTGTATATCTGTAGGAACCATTGCAGCAATCTTTGTACGTTTGAAACATTTTGATACATCCAAGGCATATCTGGGAAGATAGATGAAGTGGAATCACAAAAAAAAAATTCTAAATTGCATTTGTCTATGATACAATACGTTCAAAAATATCCAACCAACTTCCCTTCCAACTCTCAGAAAATATTTGTACAGTTTTTTTATCGATTAAACGCAGAGTTAATACCCGTTGACTCTCTAATTTAAACGAACACGTTTTTGGGATAAATGAATCTCTGTTAATATTATTTATTTTCTATATGAATGTGGAAGTTTCGTGTTAAAAAATAAAAGTAAATCTTGTTCGTAAAGTCAAAATCTTATAATATTCTTCAACAACTATAATTGTTGAAATATTTGTCTCTGTGGTAATGGAACAGCAGTTTGTGTCACAAAAGTGAATTTCTATGTCTAATAAATTGTTTGTCTCATCAGTCTATAAATTGGGAACTATTCGTTTCGTTATCTCCGAAGCTTCCATCTTCCATCTTCCACATGCCTTGTGATTTGTTGTTTTGTATAAGAATTAGATACATACCACACCAATATTCCAGCAGGTTATCGACGACGCTACTGTGAAGAAGTATTTTGCAATAATTCATTCGAATGAGAATATTTTCGGTTTGGTACAAAAACATTCCGGTATTATGTTGCAAATGTTTCTGCACAGAAATGTATTAGTAGTAGAATGCTAACTGTTTCGAATGTATGTCGATAGGCCTTGGTTTCTGTAGACATGAATACATGAAATCAATCAATTAATCAATCAACATTATGTTTAACCTATACAAATATGTATGTAAATACAAATAAAATTTTTGTAATTAAATCCAAAACATGATCTTTAGACGATATGATTTTGTATATCGTCAATAATAATTATAATAAATATTATACAAATTATTTTCTTTAATTTTAAATTAATTCTTAATTCTCCTCATTTGATTAAATGTACCGTTGGATTATGAATATATGATTTTAAATGCTGTACGACTGTTTTATTTTATTTTTATTTTTTTTTCTAATAGCACATAATTGTTTTTTTTATTATTCTATGTTTTGTTAATAATAACTTTGTAATACTGTTAATACAAACCATATTGATTTATATAAAGAATATACCAGAACCAGAGTTCTTCCTGCAAGTTTTCATCGTCATTTGCTGTATGTAGTAATGTAATATTTTATGATTGTGTAAATAGTTGATGAAATTATCTGTGAGACAATTACAGCAAAATCAACAAGAACTGCTTCTGTTTCGTTTAAATAAAATCTTCATGTTTTTCTTAAAAAAATAAGTATTATGTTTTTATTTTCACAAGAGCCAAAACCCAATAATATACATAAGTACATATGATGTTTTTTTTGTTCATTCATTCATTTATTATTCATTCATAACACAAATCAATATTGCCTATTACTTGTGGAACATATTCATACAGCATACATAAAAACATACATTAAAACTTTTGCATTCGTGAAGCCTTAGACTCTCATATCACACCTCAGTTTGCCTGTAAATACGTCTCCTTTATTGACAAAAAAAAAATGATTTAATTGCTTTATTGATTATTGTTGATACACTCGGTCATTCAAACAATTGCACAGTGGTGACTTTACAACCCAATTGCCTGAAGATTAATTTTGAGTTGTTAATTTTTTCGTTTGTCCAATGTGCTGATATTTGTGTAACTTGTATGAATTGAAATTTGTATTCTAGCAAATGAAAGAATGTTAAGCGCTCCAACAACAAAAGATACTAGCAGTTCTTTAGTAAACTGTTCAAAAGATGTGATACAACAGCGACAACCCCCCTCGCCACCGCCACGGCTTCAAAAGCCATCCTATTCGGGGAACAAATTCAAAATTGGTCGTACAGCTAACTCCAAGTCCAAATACAATCAGTCACGCGGTGGCTCTGGCTCCGCAGCTCATCCAAAATACAATGGAATTAGGGATAGCATTGAGCCTATAGGCGATAACGATGATATTGTTCTAGCCCCCCAGACACAGTCTAATACTTCTTCGAACAGCATGAAGACCTCGACACCCACCAGCTCCAATAGTAAGACAACGACCACCCGGCAACTGTGTCACATCTGCTTACGAACGAGTGATCTATCGTCAGAGCTCAAGTGCTGTTAGATCGTTGCCATCAATATACCTACCGGTAATCATAGACATAAAGAGAGATCCCCTACTCACTCTAGTGGATAAACTGATTTTGAGATTAAATTAGTAGATACATACATAAATATTTATTGTTTTGTTTTTCATTTAGAAATACGAAAAGGAACAATACAAAATTGTATAACAAAAGTAAGACATTTATTATTGAAACAAAACAAAAAAAAAATAATAAAGAAAACTTCTCTGTCTGTGACTGTACTGTACGCGCCTATATTATATACTAATTATTATTATTAAATGTATTTGTATGTGTTGTTAGTTTTTACCTAAGAAACCAAAATGAAATGAACAATTTATAACTATTATTATGATTATTACATCTTTGGACGTTAGTACCCACATTCAATTTTGAACAAGAAACAAAAACAAACAGAAAATGATATGATATTAAATACAAAATAATACTAGAAACAAAAAAAAATGAAAACTCACACACATCACAACAAATTATGGATCTATTATAAAATACTAGATATCATGTATATTATTGTCATTCGCAATACGAATGGCGGTGATTGATTGAATGAATGAATGAAACAGAGGAAATTTGTTAAATGTTGTAACGCAACCGTCTTTTTCTACTACATTGAAAATAAAAATTAAGTAATAAACAAAAAATAAAATAAAAAAATTAAAATGGATTACGAAATGATACTAAATAATTTTTGTAGTTGGTATTAGTGTTTAAATGAAGCAAACCTTCAAACAAGGATAAAAAATGAAAACAACAAGTCTTTCTCTCAACTCAAAGAAACAAGACATTTAAAAATCCAACCTCCCCCCTCCCCAGTAAAGTTCCAATTTATTACAAATCTGGGTCCGTTTACTATTGTATTTGTAAAGATGTGTATGTAGGTGTTATTATAGATATTTATTATTAATATTATTATACATATAATATAAATATATATTATATGTTTATCATAAGTAGATATTATTAAAAATGCCAAGAAAACCATACTGTTTCATTAGGCAGAAAATGAGCGAAGCATTTTGTGAATTTTCAATTTTGAAATGTTCGAAATGTTCTAATTTTGGGTAGAAAGAAGTATTGAAGCATTGCATACCGGTTGTTAGGTCTCTGTAATCTTCTTATTAGCTTTTAAGGCTACAAAATTTCCCTGCAGCTCAACACTAAAATTAGTTGCAATATCTTAAAGATTGAAACGGGAAGTTGGGAAGGTGAACTTATATTCACATCCTAATCGTAAAATTTGGTATAGTTTTTTATATTCAAACTACAGAATTTAGAAAGTGGGGATTTAATGGAGAATTAACTCTCAAATTTTTCTGCTCCTTCGATCTTCATGCTTTTATTGCAAGCACTTATGTTTATCAAAGCTATTAGGAATCTCACAATGTCCTATTACTTGCTTTCGACAATTTGCAAGCGTGTTATCAGTTTTTACTTAACGAAACAGTATCATTGTCTTTTATCTGTTCATGTGAATTTGTGTAGGAAAAAAAAAGAAAGTAAACCTTTCCCCCCAACAGTATTTTCACAAAATATCCCCAAGTTACAAAAAGAAAAATAGTCAAGAATGCAGATGCGTCGATTGTATGTTTTTGCTATTTGTGAAAATACAAACGACATCGACACGTCAGACAAATTTATATTCATAACCAAAATAAAAACACAGATTTAATTTATTATTAATATGCTGCTACACCCAAACATAGTCATCATTCAAATATATACAAAGGATTGAATAAAATTTAACAAAATGATCGATAAAACGAAAATAACTCAAAGGTGAAAAAACGATGCAATTTTGTATTTGTAAACACAAAAAGAAAAAACGAAAGTATTTTAGAAGTTAATTTCAAAAAGAATATAAAATATATATGAATTAAACAAAACAAAACAAAACATAAAAACATCCCCTCCCCCCAAATTTGTAAAAGTGAGAATAAAACAAACACAAACATGTAATCAATCTTGTCTATCTTTTTATATCGAAAACATACAACAACAATAATAACATCAAATTCATTACTAGCTCCTTATGTGAATACACTTTTTATATATGTATTAAGAACGGCAAGCCAATTGAATTGTCCGGTGTTTTATTTGTCGATTGCTTTACAGAATGTGATTTCTTAGAGAGTTTTAATCGAAAACGTTAACAACAACCCCGTATGCCGTTAACAACACACGCTGCATAGCCGTCTCATCAAAATGTCCGACAATTTTGTAATCAAAATTTTGTTTTAATCTTGTCATGCACATCAATGTATTCATTCCCATAACAAATCATCATCACATCACTTTTTTATTACCATATTTTTGTATTGTTTCCCTACTGTTCTTTTGGCTTTGGTTTACGACTTGCTTTTTAACTACTTACAAACATACCTTCCTTCTTAACTTAAGCATTAACACCGTGCGGTCATGTGCGTTATTTTAAATGTAATACCATTGACACAAAACCAGGACGGCTAATCATGATTTGTATAAATTGTAAAATATTTATAGTTTTTTATTAATAATTTATATTTAGATCTCTCCAAAGGTGAAGTGAAAAGAAATGCTAAAACAAAGAAACCAACAAAAAATATTTTAAATAAATAAATAATAAATATATGAAAAGAATAATTTGCAGAAGTAATTTGTCATTAAAAAATCTGGTGCTCGGTGATGGTAGCTTAGCTTATGTTAGTTATTGGCATGTTACTAAACTGAAGAATATGTTCTAACAATTCTACAACTTAATGTCATAACAGTGACCGTTCATATGCAAAAAAACTAAAAAAAATATTGGAGGTTTAGAACAGAAAACCGTTTGACCAGAAATGTCGAAGGGCGTAACCCACAGAAAAATTTAATTGATTCTAATACATAAAGCTCCTCTAAGTTTTCGAACTCTACGTTCAAATATAGCGATCCTATTTAAGAAACGCCAAAAGGCCTAACAACATATTGTCATTTTCATAAAACACAAAAGGCGTAACCCACATTATTTTAAAGTTAACTCATAGAAGTCCAGTTAAAAGTCCAGAAAGTGCAAAAATTCATACAAAGCTGTCTTCTGATTTGGATCAAAAACACAGAAAATCTGTTCAATACTAACTTGACAATTGTAAGTTGCGGATGTATAAAAGTTGGATTAAGTTGTTTTAATTTCTGGCATAGTCATGCTCAAATGTTCAAATTAGGACAATAGAAGAAGATTCATGTGATCTAAATGAAGACGAAGCCATTCAGTGGAGAAAACAAAATCGAAGAAAACCCGCCTGCTGAATACGACGTTCATTAGTATGAGTCTGATTAAAATATTTCAGGAAGACAATAGAATAGTTACCTCCATTACATTATGGTGAAATTGTCAAAACAATAGGTGTAGTATGCCAAAAGATCCTCCTAAAAACACTCCAGATGCTTTACTTCACAGGTGGCGGGCAATTTTGTGCAATAAAATTTCATTATGACAATTTTTTTTATAAAATTTTAGTATCTACAACTTATGCGAAACTAAAAATGGCGATCTTTGACCCTCATGAACTTTTTTCAGAAATGGGATTTATGGAGATTTTCGAGCTCCATGTCAAAATTCAACTTTATGGGCTTATGTACAATTTCAAGCCTTTTTTCTATTTTGACTGGTCTTTAGTGGTGATGAATACATCATCCATATCGGGATAAATTACTCCGTATTAGGATTTCATTTGGTCAACATGCCAACGTTTGGAAAATTTCTAAAGTTTTAATAAAAAAGTGATTGAAGATGAATTTTAAAGACTTAAATAAACCTCCCTAGAACAACAAGAAGATGAAATCAAAATAAAACGCGTGTATGAAA